CGCGCGAGTGTCCGCGCAATCGAACCCGTCTTTTGCATCGCTCAGATGTATTTCGCGTTGTCGGGCTTGAACATCGCACCAGCCCAGCCAGTCGTTCTGTTGAAGTCTGCCTCCCGAGCAAAGTTGACGACCGCCTGGAGCCAGGCCGCGTTCGGCCGCACGGCCAGGAAGCCCATGTTGATCGGGGACATGGGCCCGATGGTGTTCAACAGGTAGCCCGTTGCCGCGCAGCGCAGGATCGGAAGGACGTCCCCCTGGAACTCCACGTCCCTGTCGAAGTAGGCCACAGCATCGTACTGGGTGAAGCCGAGGGCATGCAGCCTGATCAAGTCCATCGGGCCACACCAGCCGTTCTGGGAGCGCCAGTTCCAGCCCTCGTGCCAGAAGCGCATTCCAGGTGGAGTGCTCCACCCCACCGGGACAAACTGCACCCCATACTCGGCCAGGCAGTCCCGGTGCCAGGGCGTGAGCAGCGATGAGTGGTTCTCTGGCATCACCAGCAGTATGTCGGCGCCGCACAGGTCCGCCTGCCGCCGCATCGCCCCTGCGTACGGCAGCCACCCCGTGCACTGCCTCTCCCTCTGCAGGCCGCGGCCCACGAAGCTCAGCATGAACGCGTACTTGCCATCGCTGGTGGAGGGGAAGGAAGCGGGGACCGTGGCCAAGACTGAGCACGGAAACGTCGTGCCTGTCTTGGTCACCGTCGGTCATGGTGAGCGTCCATTGTCAATTCGTGGATCATCCCCGCGAATCGGCGACGGCCGACATGGGCAATGGCCAAGATCGGCATCGGCGAGATCCCGCGACGGCCATAGTCCCCGTGTTTTTTCCCTCGAGCTGGGGCCGCGGGCCGCGCAAGCGTCCACGTCCAGACAGGCCGCCCGCCTCTCGCCGTCATGGCAGCAGCCACGACACACAGAACCCGCGGGGCGGCCTGGGGACCTGGGCGCGGTGCCGAGCTCTGCAGGCGGCCGCGCTGCTGGCTCGGCCACCCGCTGCTCCGCGACCGGCGCGCGGACGGAGGAGCGGGACGCCGAGCTCGTGAGCTCCACCAGCGGTCGCCGCGTGGCGCTCGCGGGCCCCGGGGGCTCTGGCGCAGCGCCCGGCTCCCCGGGCGGCCGCGCTGCAGGCTCGGCCGCCCGCAGCCCCGCGATCTGCGCGTGGCCTCGGCTGCAGACACATCGGCGGTGGGCACAAAGCCTCCCTTTGGCGAACCACCCTCTAGTGAAAACGGCCCAGGGCCGAAACCGACGGACCTGGACCCGCAAAAATGACGGCCGCGACGCCCTCTCGCGAACCGAGAACGGCCAATTCGCTGATCGACGTATCAGGGCAGGAGGTCGATCACCTCCGAATACAGGAGTGACCCTAGGCAAAAGTGCCCTTTGGTGCGCGGCTTCAGGGGGCCGCGGGGGAGGCCAAATGCATGCAATCCAAGCGCGCCAGCAAGTGCTGGCGGGACCCCGCCGGGCCCGCACCAAAAGGTCACTCCAGCGAAGGGTCGCTCTTGCGCTCTTACGCGCAGCCGATGGCCGGAGGAGCCGGACGCCGAGCGCGTCAGCTCCGCCGGCGACCGCCGTGCCGCGTCCGCGGGCTCCGAGGGCAACGGCGGCGGCGCGGCGGTGTCTGGGCCAGACGCCTGCCGCGAGCGCGCGCCGCCCAGAGCCACGCGGGAGGCGCCGGGATCCTGCGGCCCCCGTCGGCGCACGTCAGCGGCAGCCAGGGGCAAGCCCATGCTCCGGAGGTTGCCAGAAGTGATCCTGGCCACATCGTGCACGCGCCAGCGTGGATCGGGGCAGGTGACCCCCGAAACATGGCGCCAGTGCGGCCTGATCGGCGACGGAGCGCGCCGATCGAATGCGAAAACGGAACCCGTCGCCAAACAACGCGCCTCAATCAGCGTCTCCGCTGCCTCGACCGAATGTGCCCCCAGCTCCCCGCGCCGATTTCGCGACCCATGGAGCCCCCTGTGCCTCGAGAGGGGTGCCCCGAGCCCTGCAGGCCACCCGCCCAGAGAAGCCGCGGCCACCCCTGGCGACCCCCGGATGTTCCGCAGGGCGAGGGCCTGCGTGTCCTCCGGTGCCCACGAGAGCTGGCTGCGCAGGGCGAGGATGGCCGCCGCGGCCAGGGCGAGCAGCAGCACCGAGGCGGCGCCGAGGCGCGTGCACGGGCCCGCCATGGGCGGCCCCTGCCCGTTCGGCCCGCATGGCCCGTCGCCCGGGCGCGACCGGGCCACGGACCGGGAGTGGCGGCGAGCCCTGGGGGGAGATGCGAGGAGGCAGGACCTCTCAGAGGGCGGCGGGGCTTCGCAGAGGGCCTCCCACCTCTGGGCCAGAAAGCAAGCGGCACCACCCCACCTACGGCCTCACGCGGGCCGTAGCGTATACCAGGACGTCTGGCGTGGGTTTTTGCACGGTAGACGCTACGGCCCCCGATGGGCCGCAGCGCAGCATGGAGGGCCGTAGGCGGGGTGGTGTCGTTGGAGAAGGCATGCCCCCTCACCTCCCCCACAGGCTCGCCGCCGAGGGTGCGGGGCGGCGCCGCCAAGCGAGAGTGCGCGTGGCGGAGCCGCCACGCGAGGGCCGGGGGTCCCACAACGGTGCGGCGCCAGGCTGCTCGACCTCCAAAACCCACGAGAACTCACGGATTTGAGATCTTGGATTAGGTCGGGCATGTCCTCCTACAGGCGGAGTTTGGAAGAAAAATCAAAAATAGCCCAGAAATTACCAAAAATAGACAAAAAATCGTCCCCATACGATTTTTGCTACTATTTCTGAATACGCCACATGTAGAGGGACATGCCCGACTTACATCTTGGAGGCCCCCAGCCGCCTGAGACACCCTCGGAGAACGGCCCGAGTCCCAGAGCTGTGAGGTGGCCCGAATGCCCACCGACACACCACACGGTGTGGTCACCGAACCGTCCGGGGCGCCCGAGACGGGTGGGGTCCGCGAGACGACAGGACCTCCCCGGGGGCCGCCCAGCGGCCACAGCGGCCTGAGCCAAAATGGCTGTGCACGGCCTTCCGTCTCTGCTGCTCCTCCTCCTCCTCCTCCTCCTCCTCCTCCTCCTCCTCCTCCTCCTCCTCCTCCTCCTCCTCCTCCTCCTCCTCCTCCTCCTCCTCCTCCTCCTCCTCCTCCTCCTCCTCCTCCTCCTCCTCCTCCTCCTCCTCCTCCGCCTCCACCACCTCCTCCTCCTCCTCCTCCTCCGCCTCCTCCTCCTCCTCTTATTATTATTAGTAGTAGTATGATTTGTATTATTCTTCCTCTGATTATCATTGCTACTACTATTATTACTATTACCATCATTAGTGTTACTAGTCGTAGTATTATTCTTATTATTGTTATTACTATTATGTTTCTTGGTTTTTCTTGTTAGTCGTATTAATAGTCTTATGATTACTCGTATCATTCGTCTTATTACTATTAATATTCGTCTTATTACTTTTATTAGTATTCTTCTTAGTAATTTCATTTGTAGTAGTATTAGTATTCTCATTATTAGTATTAGTAATAGTATTAAGCTCTTCTTATGACTATTATTATTAGTAGTATGATTATTCTTATTATGAATATTCTTATTATTCGTTTTATTAGTATTAGTCTTAGTAGTATTATTATTTTACTATTATTACGATTATTATTCTGATTAGTATTACTATTATTATGTGTCTTTCTCCTCCTCCTCCTCACACCCTCTCCCTGGAGGTCTCCAAAGGTCTCTGGAGCTCCCCAAGAAGGCACCGGGAGGTATGGCCACGACAGCCCGGGTCAAAAGCATGAGCTACTTCGCCGAAGGCCCCTTGCCTCATGGAAATAACCCTAGCGAAGTGCACTCAGGGTGCAGGGCCCGAGCACGAACGTGAGGGTACCCCTCCCAAACTAGGGCTGTTCTTAACCCTCGTGCCAGCTGGCGCACTTGTTTCAACTACTCGCGCTGACACCCATTGCTCGGACCGCCCTCTCCCTCGACCCCCCGGCAACGTCACGCTTCGCGCCAGCGCCGTCTGGTATAGGTGCTGCCCACCGCCTCCCCCCCCGTCGCTCCACCCCCTAAGGGTAACGCCTGACCTCGCCAGAGGATTCCCAAACAGCTGGTCTGGAAGGGTTCGATGATCCATCCTGCCTGGGAAGCCAGCAGATGGGATGCCGGATCCAGAATCCTTTGGGGCGACGTGGCCCTCCCGTGGCTTCCCGTGGCCCCCTGGATCCGACAGCGGTGGGACGACGGGGCCTCCCGTGGCCTCCCGTCGGTGCGTCGCCAAATCAAGAATCGGTCTGGCGACGTGGCCTCCCGTGGCCTCCCGTTATCTCGCGTGGCCTCCCGTTGCCGTATGCCTGTCCCCCTCCCGATCCCCATCCCCATCCCCCTATCCCTACGTGAGCGTTTTCTTATTCGGCGTGTCGACGTTGGGTGAAAGGGAGTGGGGGGGTCTGGCTCAGGACCTCTACTTAATGCGCCTATTTGCAGCAGTGCGTCTTACGGAGGAGACTTCACCTGCGCGACACAGGCGCCAAAAACAGCCAAGATCTACTCCATTGGGAGCTGGGAGGGGGGGGAGGCGGGCCCGCGCCGACCGGCAACACAATGAATTAGAAAACGATCACTATGCCACTATCCCTATCCCTATCCCTATCCCTATCCCCTATCCCTGGCCTCCAAATCGTGACCCCCCATCGTTCCCCCATCGTGGCCCCCCATCGTGACCCCACATCGCGGCCTCAAACGTAACTGTGCAGCTGTTTGGGGCCTTCTGCCGCAAGGGTGTCACTTCAACAAACAGACCCTGTTTGTAGAAGAAGGAAAAACGGTATAATCATAAACTTTTGGCGCTCCGCGCGGTTTCCTTGGATCTGCGCTGGACCCCCCTCCCTGGCGCGCTTCGCGCGCCAGGGGCGGCGCTGGAAGAGCTGTCGGGGGGACTCAGCGCAGATCCAAGAAATCCGCGCGGAGCGCCCAAAATTCATGCTTATGCCGTTTTGTTCTTCGAATGAGGGGGTCCAGGCGTCCTCCTCCGTGCCGGTGACAGCGGCTCCCAAGGGGATGAATCGGCGAAGCATCGGCTCCCGGCAGTGCCGGTGCATCGGCGATGCATCTGCGACGTCGTCGATGCATCGGCGACGGCGGCATGGAGAAACACGGGCTCCACATCGAGCCGCATCGTCGAGGCATCGGCGATGCGGCGCGATCCTCTGACCCTATCTACTCGGACCCCATCTTGGAGGCCTAGAGTGAGGGGGTCTGGGCCTCCCAAGGAGACGGGAGCGACCGTGCTGGTGACAGCGGCTCCCAAGGGGACAGGAGCGCCTGGCAATCGAACCTGGTGGCGACGAAGTCGGCCGAGTAGCGCCGGCCGCCCGCCGCGTGCAGCAGCAGCCGCGGGATCGGGATCTCGGTCACCTCACGACGAAAGCAACAGTGACGGCAACGGCGACGACGACGAAAGCGACGACAACGACGAAAACGACGACAACGACGACAACGACGACGACGACGACAGCGACGACGACGACGACGACGACGACGACGACGGCGACGACGACGACGACGGCGACAACGACGACGACGGCGACGACGACGACGACGGCGACGACGACGACGACGGCCACTGCCACTGCCGCGGCTACAGCGGCGACGGCGGCGTGGTAACGACGACGACGACGACGACGACGACGACGGCGACGGCGGCGGCGTCGGCGGCGGTGGCCACGGCGGTGGTGGCGGCGCCAGCGGCGGCGGCATCCGCGGGGCCACCTCCTGCGGGGGGAAGGGATGAGGAGAGAAGATCGAAGATCAAAGATCGAATACCTGGTGTCCAAATCCGGATATATAGACACAAAATTAAAGTGTTGCGAGCCTGGATCCCAAACAGTGAGGTTTTCCACTGTGGATGCATAAGCAATGTAGTGCGATCTACGAGGTGTGACTTATGTGATACGAACTGGAAAGCCAAGCTCTGTGGCGCAACGTCTGTGGAGCAATATATGTGGTATGAGGTGTGCGGTCTCAGCTGCGAGGTGCAATCTGCGCGGTGCACGCTTCGCGGCGCAACGTAGGATGTGGTGCAAGCTGTGTGATGCGAGCTACGTTGGGCGGCTACGGGGCGGCCGCAGGGCGACCACGGGGCGGCCATGGGGCGGCCACCAAAAAATCCTCGGGCGAACCCATCCAAGCCACTACAACACCAAAAAAGAGCCTTGCGTGCAAGCACAGACTGGGGAACACTGGTGCGAGATCAGCAGACCCACAACCGTGCCCTTGAGGCACGAGATAGGGTGTCCTCTGGTCCGTGGCCTAATCCCTGAAGCCTCAATCTTCAATCCAGAAGATTATTTCTAAGGGGCCCGTGCCCAAAATTGCCAAATCTCCTGGGGCGCGCCGCGTGACCCCCTCTCGGCTCCTCGGTTAGTCGCGTCCTGTCGCGTGACTGTCTCGAACCCAAGTAGGCCCGAAAACAGGCCAAGAGGGCCCCCCGAGTCGCCGAAAGATCGTTCCAAGACGCCCAAGACAGTCTCAAGATTGCCCAAGATGCCTTCAATACGCTCCCCGAGGCCTCCAAAAGTCCTCCCAAGAGGGCCCCCCGGTGCAACAATCAACGCTCAAGTGTTTGAAAGATGTTGGCTGTGTCGCCTCTTCGGCTTCCCGACGTTCCACACAGGCTTGAGAAGCCCCCAAGACCGCCCCAAACGGCCCAAGAGGCCTACAAGAGAACCCCAAAACGGCCACAGAGGGCCCCAAGGCAGCCCAAAAGGCCTCCAAAACGGCCCACGGGTCCCCCAAACCCCAAGAGGTCCCGAGAGGCCCCCAAGCCCCCCCAGGGATGGCCAGGTCCCGTTTGGGCCCGCGTGGGGCCCCACTGCGGGCTCTCTCCCTGGCGCGCGGAGCGCGCGCCAGTGGCGGCGACGGATGCGCCGCCGGGAGGGGGGGCCCAGCGCGGATCCAAGAAATCTGCGCGGATCGCCAAAAAGTGTTACTATGTGTGCCGTTTTTTTTCTTCTTCGACAAGACTGAATGTTCATCCGGTGTCGTATTTTGATAGTCCCGGGGCCACTGGAAGGCCCCGACGAGGAAAAAACGGGGAACAACCTCAGAACCCCTTTCCTTCCGTCGGCGACTCCGAAGGGTGTGGTCTGCAACACGCGCCCCGTGGGGCGGGCGAGGACCTCGACAGAGTTCTCCGCCGCGCCCCGAAGAGGGCCCGACAAGAGCAAGGCGGCGCCCCCCGAACCCAAACGACGCAGATCGGAAACGACACCATAGCGCAACTGCACCCTTGAGGAACGAAAGACAGCATTAATACAGTTTGTTGGACGTCATCGCGGATTTCTTGGGTCTGCGCTGGACCCCCCTCCCTGGCGGGCAGAGCGCGCCTGAGGCGGCTCCGGAAGCGCCGCCCGGAGATTCCAACGCACATCCAAAAACTCCGCGAAGAGCTCCGACAGTGTATGTTTATGCCGTTTGGTTCGCTTTTCAAACCCATTGTTTGGGAGCCCACAGGAAAACGTGCGCGCCCATCCACGTATCTGAATACGGCCACTCAGCCCGCGAGGCCAAACTCGTTTCACGAAAGATCGCGCCACGCTCACCTTCGAGGCCACAAGCAATCCGTACAGCAAGGATGAGCGAGAAGGATGCAAGGTTCTCGTGGACGCCCACGTCGAAGGTCTTCGAGCGGGGCGCGGCCAACGAAACTGGCCAGGGATGGACAGAGGAGGCAAGGATGCAAGGGTACCCTTGGGAAGGCTGCCCATCCTTACTACGCGGGTTGACTGCAACGTGAACTCATGTGGGCGATTTCGGAAATCCTGAACCCAAAAACCTGTTCATCTCTTGGGGGCACATCTTTTACTTCCGCCGCCTTCCGCCGAGCTTCCGCACTGCCGGCTTCCGCGGAGGCGGCCTCATTTTACTTCCGCCGACCTTCCGCCGCCCTTCCGCCGCCTTCCGCCGCCTTCCGCCGAGGAGGAGCTGACAGCTCCTTCGACTCTCGAAGGCAAGGCCCCGTTTGGAACA